TACTACTTCTACTACTACTACTACTACTACTACTACTACTACTACTACTACTACTACTACTACTACTACTACTACTACTACTACTACTACTACTACTACAACTACAACAATACTACTTTAATGATAATAGTAACACTAATAATACGGGTAATATCAAAAAGATATTGCATTTATAAATACTTGTACATTGTTTAAAAGCATATATCCCTATTCGAAAATAGGCTTCGAGATCGCCCGCTTTACAATTCATGGTATTAATAGTGGGTGCAATCACGATGATGATGATGTTATCATCATCATCATCATCATAATCATAATCATCATCATCATCATCATCATTCGAATGGAGTTATTTGGACGAGTGGAGGTTACGCTAAGCATATTGACAATGGAGCCGAAAAAAGCCTCGCTTTCGCTCGAAGATTTCTTCGAGGAGTCCGTCAGGCTCATTAAGGAAACAACAAAAAATCATCATCATCATCTTTACGGACGTCAATATCCGTGCCTCTCCATCAAAGACGCCCTTTTTTCGAAATTAAGCTCTCCTGAAAGCTGACCCTTCTTTTGTTACATAATCAGAACCTTTGAGAACAAAGAGTGTTACAAAACTGTTTATGAACCCTTAACGCTTAGACATTTCTCTACCTTAGAATTACATTGTTCTATGCGACAATTTGGCTGTCAGAAACCAAATTACATTATTCTTTCTGCTCTATCAAAACCATACGATTATTCGGAGTTGCTATCAAGATTTTTAAAGAATTGTATTTAAAAAAAGCTTGACATGTGAAATTTTTTTAATAGCTGACATGAAAGTTATCAAAACTAGGTAGGTCCTACTGAGCAGATAGAACTTTGAAATTCTAAAGTAGCAATTTGGCTCCTCAACTGTGATACTGATTTCCAAAGAATTCTATTCTTCTGTTCCGTCAATCTTTTGAAGTCACCTTAAATATGACGTGAAAACAAACACACTGTAAAAGAATGGTTAGACTGTATTCGGATATGTTGCATAATATGTCTTCATTGTTATCTCAACGTCTGCCTTCCTCTTCATTTTCTTCTTACGGATAAACGAACCCCCCTCCCTCCCCCCGGAAAAAAAACGTTTGCTCCAGACTGACAGGGTCATTATGATCTTCTCATGTCCAGGTCATATTCATTATTTCTCGTGCATGATGATAACGACGCTTGAATGGGGCTTGTTTTTTTTTCCCTATAAAAGCCTCGTTCTTATAACCAGCTAGCTAAATAATGCTGGGGATGTCGCGAAGACATCTCGGAAAGTGAGTGGAAGGGTATGAAAACCCGGAAAAGAGATAGAAATAGACGTGGATAGAGGAGGGATTGGTGTATAGGAAAAAAAAAGAGAGAGAAAGAGAGAGAAAGAGAGAGAGAGAGA